ACAACCAGATGAATTTAAAGTGATTGAATTCACATTTTCTACAGCATTACCTTGATTTTACWTTTCTTAATACATAAAATACTAGGATTACAGCCAAGTTGTTGCAGAGGCGACTATAGAGTAAAGTAACAGGACGGTGTGACAGAGACAATTATAAGAACAATGTTCTGTGACACCCACTCTATTTTCCATTTGAGGCAGTTATAGCTGGATGCATCTTGGAGCCCCAGTTAGCACACTGATCCCAGACACAAAGAACAGAAAATACTCTTTTGTCCAACTTGCTGAGAATCATCAGAAGCCCTGAAAATGTACAAGCACCTAGGAAAGCAGYACTCAAATTCACATCCTCACTTCAGAATTATAATTTTCTTGGCTACCTGCAACGTTGAATCAGAAACGTGCAATTACTGTAACTAAGGTGATATTAGGCCATTTTGCCTAGTGGCTACTTGTAACAGCATGACACTTCATCTATATACAAGACTGTAGTTTGTTTAAGGACAATAAAAGTCATGCAGCTAGCTAGCTCTTTAATAATATTGACAGAGTACTCACGGTTTAAAACATTGTTTGTGTCATGCTACTTGATGGTATACCTTGACATCAAGGATTGAGCTCTGTGACACACCTGAAGTCACACTGTATTTGGCTGTATTTTTCTCCTGAACATTTTAGTAATCTGTGACTGGACTGTTTTTCAAACATCTCACAAGCTGGTAACGCTAATGGTAACTCAGAATGGAATAAATGCAGAATCTGAAACAGAGAGAGATAAGGAAAACAGAAGGTCTTATCTCTGATGTAGCCTTAAACTACATTTGACTCTTTCTATCTCTGCAATATCCATTACTGTATTTTACATTGCTACATGAGCACAATTATTTGTTTATATTGCATAGAAGTGAGAGCCTTCAATTTTTAAAAGAAAGYGTTTAACTAGACTCAGTGACATCAACCAATGAATCTTGACTTTTTTTAATACAGGGGAAAAAAAATTAATGTAAAAAGCAAAACAGACTCTAAAGCCTGTAGTCTCCAAAAACTGCATTCTCTATCACCAGTGATATTCACTGTCACCTAAGTAAGCTCTGGTGAAGGCATCTTCAGGAGCAAGGAGTGATTACACTCTTCCACCCAGCACCTGTGAGTGGGGCTGGAGTATTTCTGTGCCATTTTGCACCCTCAGAGCAAGAACAATTCATGAACTAGTGAAAGCTCAGCAAAGGATGACCAAGAAGAATAGGGGGCTGGAGTACATGGCATATAAGGAAAACATAAGGGAATTGCCATCTTCTACTCCCTTCAAGAATTGTCCTGAAGCTAAACTCCTCTTGCAGGTGCACAGGGAAAGCACAAGAAGCAAAGGTCACTTGTATCATCTAAGGAAATTTTGTCTGGACTTAAAAAAAATTCTTCATAACCAAAGCAGTTCAGTACTGGGGTATGGCCCAGAGGGGCTGTGGGATCTCCRTCCTTGGAGATTTCAGAAGATGACTGGACAAGGTCCTGAATAACTTGCTCTTACTTTGATATTGACTCTGCCTTGAACATGGCATCGGACTTGACATGCCTCAGAGATGCCTTCCAACCTGAATATCTCTTTTATTTTTTTAAGAAAATGTAYATTTAACACAAATATTAACAAAAAATAAAGTGGGTTAGGTTTTTTAATTTGCCTCTAGTTGTCAATATTTTGAGGGATCTAAGAGCTGAAACTGTAGGAGARGATATGCCTCATAAAATCTGTGAGCAAACTCTTACTGTGTCTTCCTTAACCTGTCAGTAAATGACAATCTAATGTGCATTTGTTGCTCATCAAACAATGTCTTAAAGGGCTTTCAATAAAAGAACACATTCATCTTCCCTTTATGATTCTTCATTGAAATAAAAATGAAGATGAAAATGAAAAAAACATGAATTGTGCAATGAAAGGAACATAAATTTGTCACATTATTGGCAAACAAAAGTGGAAATAATTTTTCTTTCTCCACTTCTAATAAAGTCTTGTGCCAGAGTAAATTTACAGACATTTCAGATTCTATGTTTCCATCTGTAAGAGGCCCAAAACTAGCAGACAAATGAGGGACTGATCAGGCAAAGAAGTACTGCTAAACTGAATTGAAAACTTAGAAAATTTTGGAATTCAGAGAACACACAGTGATCTCTGGGTTTTCCCGGGGAGCACATAAATCTCAGGCTTGAGTTCCCCAACAGAACAATTTCCTCTTCTCTATCCTAATCCAAGGTTAACTTAAAAAACAACTTGACTGACAAAGGCCAGGCCCCAAATTCATAAAATTAATCAGTAAAATCTAGTTAGGGGCATATAAATCACATAAAGAGTAAAGAATATAAAGACCTCAACCATCTGACACTGCTGAAGGTTACTCCTGGCACGAGACAGCACAGATAGGTTGACCTGGAGATGATGTGCTGTGCCAAATCCTTTGGTCCCAAGACCCAGTATGTTTTACTTAATTGCTACAGTAATTGCTACATCAGCCTCTATGCCCTGCTTGTTAGTTGGGTGTAACAGAATACAGGATCTAGCAGACATAACAGGCGTTATGCTGAAACAACTRGAAACAAAAACTATTGGCTTTGAAAGTTAAGGTCTGTTAAAAGTATCAGTGTGGCGTGAGAGCTGAATTACAAGGCATGTAAGCACAGAAACGGATTAAAACACAGCACTTTCTTCTGAAGAAATCAGTGTTTAGCTGTCAGTTGAGATCTACCACCTCCAAGGATCCTTCTGCATGGAGGAGAATTTGCTGTGTGTTTTGCCATACTCCGTAGAGGAGTAAGTTTKATAGGACCTCAGCCCTCTCATATATATTATTAATCAAAGTGCAATCAATAAAAAAATCTATGAGATATATCCGCTCAACAGTTAGTAGCCCATGAAGCAGACTGCAACGCAATGCACAGGAAATGATCTCATGCTTACAGACGTGTCATCAACAGCTTTGGGATTCAAGCTGCTGGATAGGTTTAGCAGCCTGTTAGCAAACCACCATCTTGCTGCTGTTTAGTAAAGAGCTYCCTATATACCCGATGCAGTTAATACACAAGGCAAAGCCACGGCTAGAGGATCTCGTCTCAAAAGAGGTGGTACATGTGGTGATTAGAAACTTTTTTGGCAGTATGAACGTAGGAGAGCAGTAGGTCACAAAGCAGCAGCATGTGTTGCTCTACACACATAACAGGARTGAGGTGGCCACTGCTCAGCAGCATGTTCTCCAGGTGGTAGGAATCTGGATAGAGTGGACTGTGTCTCTCCTGTAGCCTCTTTGCTCAGGTTTCTTATTTATGGGGGTTGGACTAGAAGGGACCTCTGAGGTCCCTTCCAACCTTAAGMATTCTATGATCTATGTAAAGCAGGGAAGAGGAYGGAGATTGCCACAGAAGCACAGCAATCCTGCTCACTGTGCCCCTGCAACAACTTCACACACGTTTACATCTACTGCCTCAAGATCTGCTTCTCCTGCAGTTGTCTCCCACAGCACCACACTTCTCCTTTCTCCATAACCTTATGCTCAGCTCCAGGGAGAACTTCCTTTGCTGCACAAGTTTCTGGGAGAGATCTGTATCTCCTACGTGGTTGGTCCTGCCTTTTTTCCTCCTGTTGAAAGCCCTGTACTACACACAATTCCTCTGTATGCTTCACATGTCTTCTAGATATCCCATGAGAGGAGGAAACACTGGTTGCCCAGAACATTCAGCACTACCACAAACAGAGACTGAATGGTGGTAAATAATTAAAGAAACCAAAGGCCAAACTATGTGATTCTGRCTCTTTGTGAGATCAGAAGTTTGTTCCTCACTCTTTAATTTCTAAATCCTTCTCAAGGAAAAATACCATGCAACACAAAAGAGCAATAAATATTACCGCAAGTCTAACTGCTTTGCCCCAGACGACAGCAACTACTCACTGCATTCCACAGGCATCTGGACCGTTTTGGTGGTAGAACAGAGCTTCAAAGCCATCAGGAGGTACAGCTGGAGGAAATAATATAGAAATCTTTCCCTCATTTGGCTAACATGCTGTCCCTAGCTTAGAAATAAGATAAGGGACAGTTTTCAAGTGAAGCAGAATTTAAACAAAGAAGGCAATTTAATCACTTACTGAACAAACTGCTGCCAAAACCCCAGCTGGGGACTTAGATTCTGGAGGTAGTGTTTACTTCATTCTAGGACGACAAGTAGGGGGCTTTTCACAGCAGTAGTCTCTATAAACAAGTATTTCCTACTTGCTTTTTTAGGTAAGATCATCACTTTTTAGTGCAGCCCTAATGCTTCTTCCAAGCAAGACATTGAAATCCTACATAAAATTAGACTGCATTTAAACATAGGATAAACTGATGCAGTGTGAAATTGTCAATGAGGGGCCATGATCCTCTGACCCTGTCATAATCACCTGTCATTCTTAATTTTATGCCTGGAAGTTAAAATCTAATCTGTTGTGACAAAATTGTGCAATTGGAGAACTGCAGAGTAAGCACTTTGCCAGCTTGGAACAACACTGGACAGGATGCTGGGTTTCAGCACGCCACAGCAGATTTTCACCACAAGGAGAGAGAGCTCTCCAGAGGATAAAAAGCACGTGGGAATTTTCAAAACCCCTTCAGCTTGAAAGGTTGTTGAATCACTCCCTCAGTTCATCAAAAAAATCAGCAGTACTATCAGCGGGATTAATTGATTTGCTCCTTACTGTACTATTGATACAACATCACTAAGGTTCTTATGATTAAATAGGTTTGTTTGCTGGAAGATGCAAGGGAAAACATTTCTGCTACATTTCCCTGTGTACATTGCCCCCRGCATGGCTCAGCACAAATCCTCTTCTGCAGCTCCACACAACATCTTAGATTCCAGCAACTCTGCTTGTGGTCACACTGCACATCTTCCCACCAGTGAGCTGAAAAAGAGATTTGTACTGGAAACCAAGACACCACATCACTTCTTCTGCAGGCATCTTTTTAATAGAAAATTAAAAAAAAAAAATCTTTATTGCCTGTACTACAGATACCTGTACAGAGTGTAAACTTCAGTGTTTCACCAGATATGCAAATAATTCTGGAGAAAGAGTTATCAAGCACCTTTCATTTCAATGTATTTTTGATATTTACAGTAAGACATACCTGATTAAGTGTATGAATAAAATGAATTAACAGTTGTTTAAAAAGTTATATAAAAGAATTTTTAAATGTTCTGTATAGTTCGTTACCTTTTATGATAAATATATAATTAAAGAGAAAATTGTCACATGTTTAAGACCCAGAGTTATCTCTGTTTATGATGTGAAGACCTACAGGAGAATTGCCCAGSGACTGTAGTGTTTGAAGAGGGGAAATGGGGATGTTAGTAGCTAACTGCTCAAGTCATCAGACTGCAAAGGGTAGTGTTCTGTTTTGGTCTGCTGTTGCAGGTAAGCTGCCCTCCCAACACATAGGATGGAAGTTTAACTTCTCTCCCAGTTACATACCACTATTTTGATATAAGAATGTGCATTTTCATTTTTCATTTTTCCTTCCCRCTCCAGACTCCATAATGATAATAAAAAACTTTTCAGGATGAGATTCAAAGATCACTTTCAGGCTTATAATATAGGATGAAACATAAAAATATTATTCAAAAATCCTCAGGATGCAAAGAAATGTGCCTCTATCTCTTAAAAAAATAAAAAGAAATAAAAATTAAAAAAGGCTTCAAATGAATCAACATCCAATCTTTGACAAACAATCAACAATTGATATTCATATCTAAAATTTGTTCTGTGCATTTTAGGAAAGTACTCCAGAACCTGTATCCACCAGAGAGAGAAAAAAGAGAGAAAAGAAAAAAAAAAACACCTCTTCAAAAACAGTGTACCCTGTCAGCAAATGGGTAAGGCACTTCTGTTGCAATCAAAAGAGTGAGAAGGCAAGCTTTGATTTTGAAAATTGGCACATGCTGACAGTGGAACAAATGCAGTTAGATATTAGATGTGTGTTGTTATTAGGTATTCTCACCCACATCTATTCATCCTTGGATCCCATGGTTGTTTCTCAGCTAAAGCTGTGGCCCAGCTGCACTTGTGCTGGGCTAAGCTTGCCCCTGTGCTGATGAACTGCCAGTCTTGGGACTGAGTCACATCATTCTCTCTCTATTCTGCACTTTACTTTTGCCAAGAGATACTACCTTCTAGCCCAGCACAAGTGCAACTAGGCCCCACAATCATCCTTAAAAGCAAGGAGACAATCACTAGAAACAAGAAGCAGCTGGACCCAACCTGGGCAGCCCAGTCTTGCTTAACTCATACAAAGAGGTTATTGCTAGCGTGTGTGGCTGCATGTCTCTGTTGCGGCCTCTTGGAGCACTTCTCTTTAGGGTCTGATTGTGCTGACAGGAGTGAAGTATTTACAGTACGTTTCCAGGAGTCYGCAGCTCTAGCTTGTTGGGACGCTCAGTTTCTTTCTATGCAGTCCACTCCAACGGTGTTGTCAGGGCAGCGGCAAGAGCGGCCTCCCGGGGTGGCCAGGCAGAGGTGGGTACAGCCGCCGTTATTCACCGTGCAATAGTTATGTCCTGAAAGCGAGGCGGAAATGTTGAAGAACAGAATAAAGCGACAAAACRCATCTCCCAAACGTGCAGATTTCACAACTACACTAGCAGGACAAGCCACGCTGAGGTTCAGAGTGAAACTTTGGAGGATAAGAGTCGTCAGATCCTCTGCATGAGCTTCTGTTTTTACCTCAAAGATTCAGATATTTGTGAAAGAATAGGACAAGCAAAATAAAGAAACTTGGCTGTTCCTAAAGCATGCTTTATGAATTGGCTGAGTAGTCCACACAAGTAATAGAATTAAGAGATGGTGAGTGAAGAAATATGGAAGTGAAACGGAAGAGAGCCAAGGCCAAAATTCTGCAGGATATCACCCCTGGACAGCAGCCACTACAATTACACAAAAGAACGATGCATTAAAAGAAAAAACAAACAACTAGAGGGAGTGGAGAAGAACACTAATGCAGAGAGATAAAATGAAAAGCAAGACAGTGTTGTGGAAAGAAGGTTACAGAAAATCAGAGAGAAAGAAACACTTTAATAGACATATGGTGAGAGAGAAATGATGCCAAGGTTCTGAATAATATAAACCTAAGCAATTTACTCAGAGCACATAACTGTCTACCAAAACAGAACTGTGAATGAAACATCAGCAACAAAGAAGAAAAAAAAAAAGGAAAAAAAGGTCTCTGAAGCATGATGTTCATATGCATCTTTTTATATTCTGAATGAAACATTCATTTAAATTATTCAATTTGTACAATAAAAAACCACATACAGATTGAATACGAACTAATTCCATTTTTCTTCTTTCCTTTCCGTTTTTTTTTTCCCATCCAGTCTGAAGTAAAAGACCAGATCCCCTACAAGTCTAGCAGCACTAGAAAAACAATGTARACTGTTCTCCCAACTGAAATTTGCTTTAAACAACATAACTGAGCAATAGCATTGCTTCCCAAAGAACAAACTGTTATTTCAAGACTACCAACTTCCTATCTTCTGAGCTTCACATGAGGCTTTTCAGTAATGCATCTGAGAAGCTTTGCATTCACAGAGCAGAAGGATCAGGCAACCCACCCGACCACCTGCTGTCTTCTGAGCATTCCTTTTTTAAAGCACTGGATACCGTGTCCCAAAACATCTGGAAACTATGAGGCTTCTATAGTTTTATATTAAGAATATATATATAAATAAAATAAATATGTAAACAAAAGGTCGTAACCATGAATATAGCATTGAGTTTAGATGATGGCAACATAATAGCTTTTGTTATACAAGATTTTCACCCTGTTCATAATCCTTATTTTGACTTTTTCTATAAAGGGCAAAACAGATCCCTTTCACACTCTCCATTCTGGTTCCATATGGAAGCAACTGTTTTTATGAAACAAATTTCAAGTGGTTTATAGCTTCTCAAAAAATAAAAATCGAAGCAATAACCCTCTCCTCACTAACTAGCTAAGACTGGTCCGCAGACCCCAAAGGTGGGTGCTGCTGGTAAATCATTTACATGCTAAGGTGCTGTAGAGCTGAAGAAAGTTGAGAAACATCTGGATTACCTCCTGGGCACTGTGCAAAGGCTGTAGTGATTCCATAGAGACGAGAGCGCTTGTGAGGCTGGAAGTTATCATTTTCTATCGAAACCGAGCGATCCACAGCTACAACAGCATCCCTTCAGCAGGTAAGAGAGAGCAGAGAGAAGCAAGATGAATTTGGAAGTGCAGAAACAGGAGAGAGAGAGAGAAAAAAAAAAAAAAAAAAAAAAAAAAGGGGGGGGGGGGAAATGAGAGAGAGAGGAGGAATGTGCGAGTGGTCGAAAATGAGAAACACGGTGTTTATTTCAGTTTCTGACAGAGGGAATAGCAGATTAAAGCATTCCATAGTTTCTTTAGCAGATAACATACCTTCTCCAGTCTGTGTAGTATANAGGAGAGAGAGAGAGAAAAAAAAAAAAAAAAAAAAAAAGGTGGGCAAGAGGGGAGTCTGGAGTTGCTTTTTGTTACAATTAGGCAGCAACTTCAGAAGCTGAAATCCAACAAGACCCCCCCTCTTTCCTAGACAACTCAAACACAACTCTTACTGTAGGCAGCAAGGAGACCTAGCTGCAGGGAACCACTTCCAACAGTTACATGTTACTCTAAAAGAACATAACTCCAGCACTTGCAGTGGCGTAGCTGACACTGGTTATTATGCATAATTATTATGAGCAAGTGTTGTATTTCAGCTGGAGTCTGATAACCAGAAGACAGGAATACAGCTATTCAGAAGCAGTCATTTCTTTCTAGAAGCAAAAGTGTGGACAGCTGACAGAACTGTAACACTGCTTCCCACGTATACAGGAATATTCTAGAAAGTTATTTCAGAGCTCTTTTCCAAGCATTCTAGCTTGGAAATTCTCACACTTATTAATAACTCTTCCTGTCGCAATTAATGGAATCATTTGTGTAGCAGGTTTGCAAACACAACTCACATCACTCAAGCTCAAGTGAAAATATAGATTTAAAAACACATGGTCCCTGAATTTTTCTAGGAATTCTAATAAGTTCTAATGTCTAGTATTCATTTTCAATGAACAGTGTTAACAGTAAAAATGTCTTTTTCTTGTTGAACATTCAGTTAATACTGAGGATAGAAATCTTCAAATGAGTAATTTCTACCTTCTACATGACAGTAAGGACAGCCAGGAGGCAAACATGTAAACTCCTCCTCCTTTCCCTAAACCACTCAGGGTTAAAAGCATTTTCTTAGAGGACAAGCCATTATGCTGATTCCCTCTCCCCCAGTTAACTGGCAACATCAGTAGGTCAACTCTACATATTCACTCCACCCTGCATCAGCTATCGTCAGGAAAGAAAGAAAAAAAAAAAAAGGGGGTGGGGGGGGAAATGAGAGAGAGAGGAGGAATGTGCGAGTGGTCGAAAATGAGAAACACTGTGTTTATTTCAGTTTCTGACAGAGGGAATAGCAGATTAAAGCATTCCATAGTTTCTTTAGCAGATAACATACCTTCTCCAGTCTGTGTAGTATAAATTCTTCCCATAACTTGTAACACTGAAAGGATACTGAATTCCTTCAACAATCTTTCGTCGACCAAGCTGATTAGGGTTCATGCATTCCAGTCTCTTGGTGCCTGAGTACAGTGAAACAATTAAGTCTTTGTACGAGACAAGAGATCTCTCATGGGGGAGGAATGATAAGCCTAAGCACGCAGGCATGGACAGAGCAAAACTTTGTGGAAGTCTTTCAGCACCCTACCTGGCCAAAGCCTTGCCCGTGCCCCAGACTGCATGGGCAAGGACAGCGGTGTGACACTGCTGCCCAGCACAACACCTAATTTACAGGCTCTCACGTGTACAGTATGGCCATGGCCACCACTCTCAGGCTGACTCTCTTGGTACGGTTGCAAGCAGCCTACCACACACTTGGGAACACCACCAGAGAGCCTGAACAGCCATCAGCTTGTCTTAGGTAGGGGATTGCAAGATTAGGGAGAATAGAGAGACAAATGCAATTTTTATGACATTCCATAGGGAAGATTAGATGAGGCAACACTTTTTCTGGTCTTAGGCTCTTATCTATTAAGAGAAAACTCCTTAAACAAAGAGGTAAACAAACGGTTGTTTAAAAATGTATCTGTGTATAAGAAACATAGATGTAATCCTGTTATATGCTCCTAGAAAGTTACTTAAGTAGAATTTAAATCTTTCTTTGTTCACATTCTCATACAAATTCTAAAATGCTAGTAGCAAATAAAGTGTGATCACTAAAGAGAAAGAACAAGGTGTGAAGTCTTTGATGCAGCCAAAAAAAAACAAAAAACAAAAACAAAAAAAAAAACAAAAAACACACAACTACAAACATTAACTGTCAATCTTTTCAGCACAGGGTATACTTAAATCTTCTATTATTATGAAGAAACACTTCATCGTCTCTTTACCTGCATCTACCCAGCACAACATTGAGGAATAAGTATCAAATGTCAGCCCATTTGGTAACCCCAGATCATCTTTAACAAGAATTCTTCTGTTCGTGCCATCCATGTAGGAGGTTTCAATTTTTGGAGCTTCTCTGTTCCAGTCAGTCCAATACAAGTTTCTGAAGAGGAAGAAAAAAGGCGAGATTTAAGAAAGTGATTGATTGCAAATGACTTTGTTAATTTAAGGAAAACACTAAGGAAACAAAAATAACAAAACAAAAAAATTAAAGCCATAAGAACTACATTGCACTTGAATACAGAAGAGAAGCACAGTGAAGATTCATCAACTCTTGTAATCCCCATTTAAAAAAAAAAGCTCACACACACACGTGCACATACACAAAATACTTTTGGCAGGCATTTATGGGATTCATTCAAAATTACATTTTCCTTTTCAGTACACCAAATAAAGCAACTCAAAACAGAATTGATCAGAGTATCTTACCATTCTGAGAAAAAACTCAGAGTGATTAGTTTATTAATGCTGTATTATTAACAGCGATTTGTTAGCGACTATTTTAGTTTTTAAGCACTTTTTGAATTAACTGAGAATTAACGAGGCCCACAAAGCAAACACCTTTGTTGCTCATTATCTAACACTAAGAATAAATCTGCTGGGGAACTGAGAAGCCTGTACCGCTTGCCCTGACCCCAGGGCTCTGCCAGAGTGAGCGCGGTTGTTGTGCACAGAACACAGGTCTCCCCTCATGCTGATCATGCTTGTGCCTCTCCTCTCCCCTCACACAACTAAGGGCATTTCTCTTCTCTACAGTGCTGTCGTGTGATGCTCATCCACAGATGTTTTAACCTCACAACTACCTGAGTTAGTTGAAAAGTTTATATTATTATATAAATAAGGGAAGCTGATACCATTRCTTTTTTCATTTAATTTTCAACCACCTTCAATTTCAAGTGCTGTAGGCATTGATTGTTTGTTTTCACTACAAAACTTGTTTCCAAACATCTGGAAAAAAGATGCATCTTCCAAAAAATCTCTCACCAGACAATATACTACATGTGTTCACAAAYGAATTCTCACATAATAACATTCCAAAAGCCTCACATCAATCGAGTAATCATTTATTAGAGCTTTCCAGAAACTCAAGACCAAAAGGGAAGCCTCCTCTGCTCCTGTGCTTCAGAGTAATTTTGACAGAAATGTCAGCACTGCTGTCTCTCAGCAGTGGCCTCACTGCAGAAGGTTACACCAAGCTAATGGCAGATATGTTCAGAAGTTAACGAACACTTATTCGACATTATGATGKGCACCCCACTTGGTTTAATTTTCCCCTGTTCTTCCCTTATTAAGGAAAATAATGACAACTGATCAAAGACTGCAAAAAGGATATCTGTGTTTCTGTTTGTGCAGACAAAGTCATAGCCTGAAAAAATGTAAGTTGTGTTACTGGCATCCCACAGGACCAATTCTGCAACTGCATCTTACAAGGCCAATTCTAAAGTATATCGTTATCGGTACCTTCAGGAAAAAAAAAAAGAGAGAAAAAAAACCCAAAACCACCACACACAAGCACTTAGTCGAAACTCCTTAGGCAGCTGAATAACAGGAATGAAAAAAATGACAAGAAAGATACTATGGGAGTTTTTGAAGAAAGAATATTGTACAGGAAGAATGCCTGTCACTAGGAAACTGAAAATATAAAATTACTTAAACTAGTATTTTAGCAATCTTGCAAAAATAAATTCTCTTACACAGGGAAGTTGCTTGCCGTCTTGTAAAGAAAATACCAAAAGAAACAGGCATTTGTAGTCCTCTCAATAAAGTATCATGGGATTGCACAGCTGTATTTTAAAAKAAATTATTTTCTGTATTCTACTTAGATATAGGTCACTGAATTTATTCAGTTTCTGATTGTTAGTTGTTTTAAGAAAATACAGTCCTATTACTGTCTGAAGACAGTCTAAAAATAAGGAGAGAGCTCACATTAAAGAAGTTAAAAAAATAAAATAAATAATAATTAAAAAAGATTAAGCTTTGCATGCATATTCTGAAAACATATTTGTACCCTCTCACAGGATCTGCTACAATTGCTCTAGGGTTCACCAGGCCAGTGTCAAAGAGRACGCGACGCTGACGACCATCCAGCTTAGCCACTTCTATTCTGTCAAGTTGAGAGTCTGTCCAGAAGATGTTGCGACCTAGATGGTCCAGAGCTATTCCTTCAGGGCTTCCCAAGTCTGCAAAAGAACACAAAAAACACTTTAGCCCTCATATTTATTCCAAATACACAGTATCATATACAGTATGGAGCCTCATAAGCACTCCCAAGCTTTTAATTGAGAAGAGTCTTCTTGCAGTTTTCTGACTCTGGTCTAGCAAAAGCCACTTTGTATGGAAAATGTTAGCATRTTAGAAGAGGAGTGTGTATTTTGTTTTATGAAGCTGAAATTCTTGGAGATGCCTCCGATGAATAAGTAAAAAGTCTACACTCAAGGATAGTAAATCCCAGTTCTAGTACCTGCACCGCTACTGAACACATTGGAATCTTATCTGGAATTYCAGTACACCTTTAAGTGGTAGGAGCACCGGAGTGCCTCATGATCTCAAGAACAGCAAAATGGCTGGACAGCAACGAGGCAGCAGCCTCCCCAGCTCCTCTTTTCTTGTACTACATGTGCATAAATTTACTGGGATGCAATAACCAATGTGGTTGGACAGCCCTGACGGCTGGACAACCCTGATGGAGCTGCACATCTCCCTTTTCAGGGTCATAATGCCCACAGGCTATAGCCATCACAACCTGGGTCTAACTAAAGGCTTYTCTCAGTCTTCCCTTCAGTATAACAGAGTTTCACCACTATCTAACACAATTGACACTGCTCTGCTACACTCAGACCCTGAAAAAGTCAACAGGAGAGAAAACACAGAAGAGTTTGAGAATCTTTCTTTATTTAGTAAGCCATGACATAGAATGGATTTTATCATCTTTAATGCTCCCCTATGAACATTAGGGGCACTCCTCTGAAAACTGGACTTATTCTGACTTAAACCAATGCAATACTTGAAAGATAATCAAGTTCCAAAGCACCAGAGATAATGACAAATGACATTAGCTAACTGCTGGAATTTAGAGTCATTTCCTTGTTTTTGCAGAGGAATTTTTTGGAACATGTTTTGGAACTGTATGTGCACAGCTTTCCTTGGACAGTTAGCTGTTCCAAAAGCAACAGGAAATAGCAAATAATGACCGTACTGCTTTAGCCTTAGTAATTTCTAACTCAAATGAAGGATGTAGAATAAATATATAGCACTTGAAGGTTTAACTCGGCCAATACAAGAACTGTTCTATGCTTTTCAAGGATGTCCACACATCCATTTTCAAGGATGTCCACACATCCATTGAAAGAGAACTACTAGGCTGTGTTAGATATTAAGAAGTCAAAGGCAGGTACAGACGAACTCCAGTTCCAAAAGAAACAGGAAAGACTGCATGTAGTCACTTCCAAAAGTTGCAAAATGACCCTTCACATTAGTTAGCTATCAAAGATACCTCAAAATGTAGATCCACATATCATGCAAATGTCCATGAAAGAGAGAATGTAGCATGTTGGCATTCTATTAATTCTCAAGCTTATTTACTGATGGCCATTGAACAACTATATGGGTTATAAACCACATTCCTGCAGAAAAGACATTTGAGCCAGAAACTGGATGCATCTGTCTTACATTTGCAACTTTGTTGTGAATAAGCTGCAGAATACTCTAGATAGCCTCTGCTCTCTCATCTGGATAGATTAAACTTGTCCTGGACACATATCCTTTTGGATGTGTGTCTATTGTTGAAGAGACATGTTACAAATATGAACAAATAAGATGTGGACAAGTATCCCTGCTTCTAACATGCAGCTCACATATAAGGGGGCTCACAGCAAAGGCAGTGCTCATCAGCCCTCCCTACTCCTCTCAAGGGCACTTAGGCATACTTCAGCTTAGGTGCACTGTCATTGCACCACTGCTTTCTCTTCCCCAAGTGCCCATGTGGAGCTACACCTGTCATCTGCCAGGAACCAGGAACTTGTAAGTTAGACCCCACCWGGAGGGTCCTATCTTGCGCTACAAGCAGGAGCTGCTGAAGAAGGCCTCATTTTGAGGTGAGGGCAGGGACAATCCCCRGACAGCCTCTGGGAGGAGAAGATCACACAGCAAATGGTGGCAAAAGAGCTTCACGTCTCTTTCAGAAAACAGAAAGTGGCCGCAGGCAAGATATCTGCTGCCACTGGTTGACAGGAGCCTGTTCCTTGGCCAACTTCCTTTTTCAGCTATCAATCGGGAGAGTTAAAACATTCTTAAGGAAAATTTCTTTCTCGTCTGGTTGACGATCAGAGAAATCGGTCTCTGTGAAGAGGGAAGGCAATAGACAGGCTTCATGTATCATCACCCTCCACCTAACCGTCTTTCCAGAGCACAACTGCTGTAAGGCCAGCTCCTGTCACAGGTTTTGTCCCTGGGAAACAGACGGGTTTGGACAGATACGTGTGGCTCATAAGATTTAAGAAATTATGACAAAGGGGAAGGCTCTCCTTCCAGACCCTCCTCCACAGCTGCAGAGCTCAGAAAGCCTCCACAGGCTATACAGCTGCAGAAGCTGAGAACTGGATGGGGCCCCACAATAAAACATGTCTCTGCAAAGCACCCCCACTCGAATCACAAGAGCTTAAACAAAAAAGTGCATTCCAAAAAATACATGTGAACTGAAGCAAACAGCTGCAGCTCACAGAGGGCAAAAGGGAAAGATCAAAACAAAGACAGCAACTCTCATGGGTCAAGAGGGAGAGAGGTTTTCCTATTTCCTAAAAGTTTTAAAGTTTCAATTTGGATAGCCATGTCCAACAAAGACAACATTAATTAAAATATTGAGAACTTAGCCTTGCATTGCGCTGACTCCTTATCAAAGAACCTGTTAACACTTCATACAGAAAATAAAAAGCAGTAATTAGGAAGAGCAAGATGAAGAAACTTGTGTTGCTACCTGTTTTGATGATGGTTGTTGGCTCTCCACCATGTAAGCTAGCTCTGCTGATCGAAGGGCCACTGATGTCTGTCCAGTAAACCATCTTCTCCATGCAGTCATATGCAACCCCAATAATAACTTTGTCCTGGGGGTCAACAAGCAAATTAGCAGAGCTCATACTAATTAACAGTTATTTGCCAGGAGTACTAGCTTAGGGGATTAAATCTCATTGCCTGAAACAACATTTGTGGACAGACCTGGGGGGAAGGTGGGCCGGCAAAAAGTTAGGATGGCCAGTTATTGCAGAGCTTACAGCATAGAGATGTAGCTTAGAGTAGCTTAGAGACATATTTTCAGTTTTAAGTCCCTTTTCACCAGCAGACATCATTTACAGTTATTTTAAAGTAGTATTGTACATATTAGGGCTGAACTGCAGGTTTCAATTCTTCAGTTTCATCTGCASAGCCTTTTGAAGCAGGCTCATGATGTTGTTTTGCGTGTTACTCCTCATCTCTCTCTCAATCATTCCTTGACTTTGAGGAAGAATAACTGCTTCATAAAGTCTCACTGCTGTCCTGTACTCACCAATCTGTGCACAATGGCTGCATTTCAGCCACCATACCTATGTATCATCTATGCTGCCCAGTATACATAATAGCCTAGGCAGAAGAAAGTGGGACTAAAATTTGAATTCAAAGTTGAAACACTTTCCTTTAAGCAAATGAGAAAGATTTTCTCAGCAAAACACTAATTTTACATTAATTCTTCAATCTCCTTTTTCCCCTGGGAAAAAGATTTACCACGCACCAGGCCTACAAATGGATACAGGATCATGAAATAAAAATCAAACACACAGCTATATATCCATATGCAAGAAGTACAGAGTACAGACTGAAGAAACAAAGAGATTAGGGCTTGAGACAGAATTTTGAGGGAGTGTGAGGGAAAAAGAAAAAGTTTCCTATTATTCTTCAATAACAACAGAAGAGCAAGATCCTATTGCTCTTCTAAGTCTCAAAGTTTTATGTCAGAGTCAGAAATGAACAGAAAGCCAATGAAGGTGCAAGTGTAGCAATGCTTGTATGATGAGCTCTTCAAAGCACGAGACATCACAAATACTATATTTTTAATATATGATACATTATTTCAAAAGCAAATTATTTTTTCTATAGCTCATTTTTACAGTAATTTCCTAATCGGATCAAGAATTTTCAAGGACAAAGTGACAGGATACTGACATTTTAATGCAAGGTTAAAACTGAGCTTTGAATTTAAATAATCAAATGACACAGAAAACAAAAACTCTTTCATCTTTTCTACAGCTCTTTCCACAACACATCACCTCTTACAGAAGGCACTTACTGGAATATGCAAGAGTGCTTTTGCTCCATTTTTCTTCATGTTGTTTCCCTCTAAGGGAACATGTTCAATTTTCCCACTTTGGGCAAAGAGCAAGTGTGTTCCAGGGGGGAGAGGTATGGTATCTGGTCGAACGGAAGGCCCAACAACAACAGGAGGAGCAGCTGTGCTCAAGCCTTGTTGATAAAGAAGRAATGGAAACAAAATTAGCCTGTACAACACCACAAGCCTCCCTTCTCCAGACACACAAGYGACCAAAGAGATGCAGCACTAGGCATATGATCACTAAGAGCAGAGGACTCTGCTCCAAGCAGCGCTGTATCCCCAAAATGCGGCTAAGGGCATGCATCCCTTAGGAAACGATGCACTCCCAAAGGAGACGTCCCCACAAGAAACAGGTGCTTTAATCACTTACATGGTGGCTGAACTCCTGGGCCACTTCTGGTGCCATCAATTTCATTCCCATTCCTATCCACACACCAACAATATCCTGTGCTGGAATGACACTGAGTGGGGAGGTAACTCCCATGCTCGTCACAYTGGGGAATGAACTGGCCAACTCTTGGGAAGAAAGTGCCTCCACTTGCAAGAGCTCGCTCTTGTTCATGCTGACATTTGGTCTTCTCCACTTCTGTGAAAAGATACAGTTCAGTGCATACTCTTATTTTAAGCCAATATCTTGGTTAGATTCACAACTGATGTACACTGAGTAATTACAACATAAGCATTTTTGTCTTGAGAGGACTGTGGCACTGTTGCAAACCTTGAAAGCAGCATATGCCCTCAGGGCACCTTCAGGAACAGTCTGCCTGACCTAAATGTGAAGCTTCCCAGCCAGCAGGGTTCTAAACAATTGCTGGAAATCTCTGTCTTTTTCTCTTGGAGCACAACGGCAAGAAACATGTAAATGGAGCTGAACTAAGTTTACCTCAATGTCTAATTGGTTTGTGTCTATCCATGGATCCTAAAGTCTGACTAATTAGCCAAGTGACACAGCGGAATTTTATATATAGTTAAAAGGGGAGTCTCCATTCCGAGTCACAAGAGAAAGTCACAACAAGAGATTGATGCCAAATTCTCTGAAAGATCGAGAGGTGTGACAACTCATTGCTCTGATCCACATCAGGACTTTGAAAGTTGGGGCATCAAATTTAAGCATCACTTTCCTACTTTGAGTAGAAGAAAAAAAAGAAAGGACAGAAGGACAGATCGTTCAGTGCCCACAGTACACACAGACACAAACATACACAGAGAAACAAAATACACAACAGCTACATTACCTGCATATGTGTTACTGTAGAGATTACACAGGAAAGATCAACTTACAAGATCATAAGAAAATTGAGGGATAATCAGTTCTTTTGAATTCTAAAGCAGTTTTGTCTGAAAAAAAATACGTGTTTTCATATGCTTTTATCTTTCAGGAAATAGGGAACATGACTTTAGATCAATATATCCTTCCAGATGTCAAATAGTCTGATAAATTTAAACAATTATTAATATAACCTTTTCCCTTCTCAAGCTGATTTGGTTGAGTTCTACATTACACTTGAGATCTCTGAAGTGCTCTGTGCACTGGGAGAGAACGATATAACTATGGAGCTCATCTTCTTATCAAGGATCTCCATAGGCTGTTAGAAATACTTTTGTGTCCTATCTGATGAAGAGCCTTAAACTGCACAATTCCATTTATTCCTTTCGTGCTTTCATACACAGACCACATTGGTGGGTAGCATTAGTTACRTGTGGCTTGGCCAGTCCCAGTCGTGCTGAACACAAAGCTAATTCCATGTGTCTGCAAACTACTGCAGTGCAGCAATCACACAAATACAAAACAGCATAGTTGGGGGTTTTATTATTTATTTACACTAGTTATGCAAGCAAAAGCTTTGGACAAATTTCAYGCACCTGGACACAATTAGAGAAATATAAATGTCTAGGGAACAGCTCACTCTAAACAACTACTTGGCCTCAGCTTTAATGTGGGTGGTGGAGGGCCTTGAGAGATCCTACACAACCAGACCCCAAAGGATTCATTATCTACCTCATACTTTATTTGCATGCATCCAATGAAATATGTGGATAAAAACATTGAACTGCAGTGAGAGTTTTGCCACACTGCTGTTTCAGAGGTCATATTACATGCACTATGCCCATTAAAACGAAAGAAAAAAAAGGAAGTATTGGTAAATTGACCCCATCCTGTTTTTGTTTTGCAGTCTATCTGTATTATCTTTGAGATACACTGTCAGCTCTTCCTTAGCAKGACTATAAAAATAATTCTAGACGCAGACTGTTCTGCCTGCCTCCTACTCCCAAAATTATAAAATCTCAGACATCTTTTCATCAAACGTCTAACACTTTTTCAAAATAAAACAAACTAGAAAAGGTAAATTTTATAAAAGAGGAGTTAGAAAATACAAACTATGCAAACAAATGTCTCAACTCTCAGYGAGGAGCCAGCTTCTGTACATAGAATATACTCCTATAATTAAGAAATTAAAATACTGGTGTCTGTTCAAATTTCAGGACATAACTCACACTCATATCTGCAGATTTGGAACAGGAATACCTACATATTGCAATGATAAACCCACCTCACAAACATTCTGCTTATGCCTTACTAAAGTCAAGAAACTAGACAAGAACTAGTTCTCAAGTCAGAGTTCTGTCTCTAGAAGACTTCAATATTGTGTTTTCTTTTTTAAAAGCTTACCATCACGGATTTTCTGCTGCATAAGGAGATGCCAAATACCTATTTCTACTCACTTTCAGTGATAACTAGATCTTACTACCTCTACTGCTAAAAATAGTTCTTACACATATTTATCACAAACATTACTAATAGTATAAAATACAATRCACTGTCTTCCTTAAAGAAATAATCTGAAAAGAAATAAAATTGTGCCATCATTTCCTCCCTACGAAAACTMAGTTATTTTACATAGTCCTCCAAAGTTGTTTCTACCAGTTTCAACTCCTAACCACAAATTTAGCTAATATTATAAATTATACATTGGAAAAAAATGAACAAGTTATGCCAGTCCAAACCAGTCATTTAATATCCATACTATATCTTTTTTTTTTTCCTCCTTCTCTCTGAATCTCAGATAGAACTAGCTCACTAACTTGCATGTAGGCATCTTTCTTAATCTTCCCTCAAAACATATTGAGGGGAAGGGAGAAGGTAGTCCTACTTCAATAGCTTTACCCAAGAAATGAGCAGTGAGTATGTACCTTTCCTTTAGCAAGCAAACACTAAATAAAACCTCGCACATCCTATAGCAGCCCCTTCCCTGCACCTCTMGGCCCACTGTGGGATGATGTTTTCGCCCCTCCTGCTGCAGCCAGTCACTTGTGCAGGTGTCAGTGACACCAACAGGTCAGAGAACACAGGAAAACTTCTTAATTTAAGAGTTAGGGCTCCCAGCTAGGAGTGGGGAGCCTGTCAAGACATGGATGACATCTTTCTACTGCAAAGGAGTCTGTGATTATCTGATCAATTTAATTACTGSATTATCCAGTGGGTAACTCAGGTTATCCTAAAGTAGACAGACATCTAATCAGCTAAATTSAGACCTGAATTAATTGCTGCTCAGACTTCCAGTCACTGTTCAGACAGTCTCCACAGCCGGCTTAGAGACACCTGAGGGGGAGCAAGGTGAATCCCAGCCCAGCACTGGAGCCTGGGAGGCAGTGGAAGCACAAAAACTTACATACAGGTGGCAGCTGGATGTGATGAGGAGACTGTTCATGTAATTGTACATTTTCTCAGTGCTCTGAAGACAATGGTCTTATTATGCAAACCTTAAATTGTTTTAATTAACTGTCTCAAATGAGGCTAACTGTGATTGAGTTTGAAAGATAAAATTCACACAGTAAATAAAGCACATTCCTTCTCAATGAGTTAACAATACAGAGTCAAGCAAATATATCAAGAGCTGGTATGTACTTAGATGGCACAGGAACTACTTTGTAATTCAATTTCTGGACAAACATTAAGGCTGGTAACTTTTCTTTCCTTCAGCACACTAGTCTAATAAAGGTACTTAATGCTTTCCCTTTAATATAACCAGCCATAATTCATCTAATCATAGTCCTTCAGAGATAAAAAACAGTTCACATTAGGAGAGCTTTCTGATCTCTGACTCCTGCATAACAAAAATTTCCACTAACTACACTAGATAAATGTTATTTGCTCTTAATTCCTGGTATTACTGTGTTATTTTATTTACTGCTATTCCTGATTCTTGAAAATGGAAAATAAGTCATGCCTATTTTAAGGTTCCATTTGTATTTCTATATGGCATTCTCCTGGGGCCTACAAGACAGTATTACTTTTTAAATAGAGTTCTACACTGTAGGTTTGAGGAACACACTGTACAGAGCAGCCTCTGAAGATGAGGATGCATGTTGGAAAATGATGACTATGAAAAGTTACCAGAAGAAGTTCAACTCAGTGTGACTATCCAGATGAATGCCATAGGAAGTGGGAGGGGACATAAAGAATTCAGTATGTACACTGGGAACACTGCACAGGCATGGGGAAGCCCTATTATTATTATCTCACATGCAATTTGTGAGATAATTCATAGCTCACTGTGTCCAGATTTGGTGTTCAAAGTTCAAGATATCAGTGAAAATTTGAACTGGCGTGCAGAAAACTGCTCCTAAAAGGGAAGTCCTGGTTTAAAACAGGGATTGAAAGCTAGACAAAGAAGTATTGTCTCGTGGACCATATTACTCACAAGTTGGACTGGATACATCGAATGGTGTATTTTTAACTCAAGCAAAATGAATTACTTTCCCTAGAAAATTAAATTTGAATTCTATGTTTTAGAGTTTTTTTGCATTTGCTTTATAAACCACCATTAGCAATCCAGAATTTGTAAGTCACTAAATCATATCATTCCAACTTGAGAAAATGAATTGAAAACAACATCAATACTGGAAGTGGGTCAGACTAAAAATATGCATATACACATTCCCCACAAAAGCAAAAGAACTAGCAGAAGGTGGAAAAAAATAAAAGTCGTATATGAATATTCAAAGTTTTTCATGAAGATCATGAAAAAAAACTCTTGCAGCAGCACCACACAAGATATTTTACTGATTTTTCCAGAAATACCAAGGCTGAGAATAAAACGTGAGAAATAGGGCTGTATATGGCATCTTCCCTTCCAGATTTTGCAGATGGAATTACAGCCTGATACATTATACCAAGATCAATGATTTAGTTTTGTGGTATCCTTCAAAAATCTGTAAAGACTTGAGTAAAAACTCAAAAGAGGTTTACACTGAAAAGTTAAAACTTCAGAAATGTTTTAAAACTCTATCTGAAAAACGAGGAATACTTAGAAATTTCTTATTTGGATTCACTTCATTCCTCACATATCACAACAAGTTATACTAAGATTTTTAGCTGCTACTCTAAGTTCTTGCCAAAAAAACAAGACATAAAAAAGGGAAACAAAATAACACAGTTCCCTTTGTCCATTCATTTTGCTTTGCAATCCGTCACTTACAGCCTTGCTCTCTCAGAGCATTTCTCACGTGAAATGGATTGTACACAGACTAACAGGACTACGTATGGCGCTTAATGGTCATTCCCCCAGTCCAAGAATCTGGATTTGTTTCTGTTTAGTAAACAGTGTCTGGGGTCTGCAGGGGCAGAAACACTCAGACATCTGGTTTTTTGAAATGGAAAAATGAAGCGTGAGGAAATAATGAAGCACAGACATTCTTAATAGCTGCAAGCAGTGGGGCATTCTAACATTAACTCTTTCATTAACCCACTGGCTTTCTCTGCAATTATGGTAATGCTATGGCAATGCTATAGATAAATTTTCCTGTAGTATTTTGCCTATGAGAATTGAGAAGGCATTTCTAATTCCCAAACAGAGGGTTTTTTTGTAAAGCTCCCATGTAAGACCAAAATGTGCAACGCAAACTCAGTACTTGATGTGTCTACTCGTTTTAAGGTTTATTCTTCAGCAGTGCCTATATTCAACAATATGATTCATAAAATAATAAAGATGCCCAAACAAACAGCAATTGCACAGCAAAAGAATTGAGTATTTGGATGAATTAAGTTTTACGTGCTTTTAATGAGGATTTCAGTGACTTGGCTGTGCCTAATTAGATTAAAACCTTACTGCATAAAGAAGAGAAAAGGAGTCTCTTAAAGCCGAATACAATAGATTCTCATCTGGAAGCTCCATCCTCGAACAACTTTATTTTAGCACCTAACTTGCAAAGCAACTAAGCTGCTTTTCATTAGGCTTCAGAAAGTACATTTTGAGCCTAACTACAGGAACTGATTAACTGCTGGATTGTTGGATATATGCTTGTAAGAGTATGTACTGCTTCAGTAAGAGATGACATCCTAAGGGCAGCTGTTTTTCCATGACCTCCACTCTGAGGGAAGAGCAGCAAAGATTGTGAACACTGTCACTGATGCAAAGTAGTAGAGCAAAAGCATTAGTCTCTTATATAGGGTTCAGTGAAAATGAAATTAGTCTTCTATCAAGTTTTGCTGGTTGTAGCATTTCATGAGCAGAACCAACTGATGTAAATGTTTCTAAAACATGTTCTACTAGGAGAGCAAATCAACATTCAATCATATATTGGGCAAGCATCCAATCATATATGAAAGTAAGCATTCAATTATATATTGAAAAAATCCTACATTTAAAAAAAAAAAATCACAGCTTTGAATTACCAAAGACTTGGACATGATTAAGACCAAAGTGCCAATGTGGATTTATAGAGACAGCCTACACAGTCATGTCTCCTGTCTTCTTCACATCTGATCCTATGATTTCTGTACTCTTTGCTGCATAGCTTAGGGTTGCAATCTGGAGGGAGGTTCAGGGTCTCTTGCCTCATAGCAAGCATTTTAGGAAGCAGGAAAAGGGGCTTTGAATCTGCTCAGAAATAAGAACTTATTTCCTAAATGAGAATACACACCATTCGAGAAAACCTAAGTGCTGTCTCCTGGTTTTGCCATGCTTTTGAATGAAAGTAACCACAGCAATGCTCCTTAGTACCCAAGTGATCCTTACTCTTATTTTCAGCATGACTTCAAGTTCAGGGGTTTAATACTTCAATGTCCAAACCGCACAGCATAAATGCAAGAGTAAAGAGCAAAGGTATAAAGAAACTTCTGCTATTCTGAATAGGGAACAAGCTGAGAGAAGATAGAATCATCTAAGCACTAATTAAAAACTGAACTGACTAGAATCTAACTGGTTGTTTAGTCTTTCTGGACTCTTACAGTTTATACCATGAAAATCAGGCATCTCGATACCACTGAAGACACTAATGCAGGTACTCTGGTTTTATCCTTAACTTTCCTCTTACAATTGTACTTCATGCATACCATAAAACATCTAGAATAGTTGGTAGTGTAAATGAAATGCAACCACCTACACACAGAGTTGCTCGGTCACCAAACGTTTACAGAAGGCAATCAGAAAATACCACCAGACCGGGACCAAGCACCGCTGGGAATAAAACCATTAAAATGTAATACAGGGAATGTCGAGCAGGAGAAAGATGGTAGCCAAGAAAGAGATTCTAAACACAAGATTGGTGAAGTTCCAAACTTGAGAGACTGTAGGAGAAAAAGAGTAGAGATCACAACAACAAAACATGCAATTTGCTCCAGAGAAGAAACAAATATAATTTGGGAATTGGGTGACATGTATTTCTCTTCCTACTTTCAAGAACTATAAAATTTTACCTCCTAACACACACCGGAAACCATCCCCACGATAACCTGCCTTGCAGTGGCAACTGAAGGAACCAGGTGTGTTGTAGCAGAGAGCATCGGGATGACAGCGGCCCTGCTGACATTCATCAACATCTGCAAGAAAAAGSAGCAGCTTCAGACAACTGTTCTTCCTGATGAACAATAAGTGACGAATCTAAGTAATAAATTAAATTACAAATCTGTTTTAAGATTTTCAGGTACCTATTTGAGGATATCCAATTAGAATTACAGACTTCAAAATAGAATTTGGAAGATGGTCTGTACAGAAACACTAATTAAAATAAGTATGCATGCATTAACATTTTTACTTAAGTTCTTACACCTTTCTATTCTTAAATCAACAATGCTGATGGGTAACTGTTAACTCACAGTACTCTAGATGCCCATGTTTTGTAAGAAATAAACTTATGGATAAACACAGTAAGAGAGCATGACTTGGCCAATGAGATTTCCAATATGGAAAATACTGGAGTGTATTGGGRAAGCAGCCTTACTCAAAGAAAGGAAACACAGCAAAGCATTTCTACAAACTCAGAATTCTAAGCATCATCTGTCACCATCTCAATAATATAAAATGGTATTATACAAACAGTTCCAGCAGATGATAATCCAATCTGCTAACTGCAACTATTGCAATTTTTATACCTACCTCATCTCTGACCAACTGCAGCACAAATACTGATTAGTAAATTCAAACATGGGTGGAGTGCTTGCCTGGTGGATTAAGTTATGACATTTCCCATTTTAAATCAGAAGTAGCTACAGGACATGGCTCGGTTGGACAACCAGCCAAGCTGTACAACACAGAGCACTAAGCAACCCACAAGGACTGRTGCTACCCACCCTCACAGACTCGCCCATCACCAGAGAAGCCAGGCAGGCAGGAGCAGATGTAGGCGGCCCCTCCTGTGTACACGCACTGGGCGCGCTGAGCAACGTCGCAGTTGTGCGTGCCTGCCTCGCAGTGGTTTATGGCATAGTCAACAGCTGCAGGTAACAGTGAAAAAATAAAATTAATTTTCCTCCTCAAAGTCTGAAGCTTTCAGCACATTTGTAGAGCGAGAACAACTGTGAAAAAGAGACGGAATTTCTCACAAAAGAGAAAGAATTTTGTTTCTCTTCTTTGTTGAGATATCTCTTTTTACTGATGTTACATATTTAAACATGTTTTTAAAAGAAAGGGCCTGATTCCTCACACCAGCATCTCACTTGTTAAGATGCAATATAGGAGAAAAGCTACCACACTCTAGCATCCAAGATGCTTTTGTTTATAGAAAAGAGTCCTGGATGAAGAAATGTAAGGCATTTCAGGGACACCTCACATACTGGCTAAGCGGTCAATTCACTGCGTTGGGAATTACTAGATATCCTGCTACACTAACCTAGCATTGACCCAGGGTTGTTGTCACTTGGCAACAAATAGGAACTGTGACTCACTCAATGGCAGATAAACATATTTGTCAAGTAATGGAGAGATTTTGACTAATTCTGGCAGCTGGGGCCTCTCCCGCGGTTACTTTCGCAGTGTTGACAGCAGTGGCTCTGAAGGCATTTCATTGTTTTGCAGATCCATCCATTTTAAACAGTCTCCCCATGCTTACCTGATATTCCAAAGAAGAACAGAGGAGACTGTGATATTTAAAAGAGCAAAATGCTACAGAASTGTTGATCCCAGAAGTACACAAGTCCACAGCATGCGCATCTAGGGGCAGACTTGCAGCTGCTACAGCAAGGAGGCACTGGGGCTTTCTTTACACAGTTCTTATTATGAGCTGTCAGAGGAGCACTCACAACAGACTCTACAATGCTCTTTTCACAACGTACACAGATGGAAAATACCACAGTATCAGCATGAAAATTRCAAAATTTCAGTCATAGCAATATCTGAAAACAGTCATTTTCTCCGTTTCTCTGGAGCAAATGAGATCGTTAGAATGACTTAGGACATCTGTTCTGCCTGAAGAAGTTTTAGACTGCAAAATTATCTATTTAGAAATAGATTTTAAAAAGCACACTTTTTAGACTTGGACTTCCTAATAAGTCCCCCAGTCTTCAGGCTATAAAAAGAAGAGCATTTATTTAGATCTCTCTTTTGCCATTTGTGAGTCACAGAGCTGGTATGAAAAAGTTGCAGTTCTAGAAAGGCTGAGGCAGAGCTGGTATCCCAAAATAAGATGCAAAAGCACAAAGAGGGCAACTGCTGTCTCTGCAGAAGTTGAAGTTGTCTATAGGCTATAAAGACCTCTCCTGGGCATGGGGAACAAGAAACACCATCACATTTATTTTTATCCTGCAAAATTAAGATAAAAATTCTAATTAAAAAAGCTAATCTATATCCTATGCCCAGGGAAATCTCCCCACTAAGATTTCCAAATTGCAGGTAGGTCAGATGCCCCGCCCTAAATACTATTCAACCATCAAAGACAGTTGGAACTCTAGCAGGAGAGTATTTATTTTGGATTAGAATTTAAAAAGGGGAGGGGAAAAAAAAAAAAAAGTCAAAGCAAAGGACTACAGAAAGTGATGGCAGATGCAGAACAAATGCAATACCTAGTAGTCTTGACAGTGAGATGCAGTGAAATGATGGCAAATTAATAACAGCATTAATAACAGCTCCCATTATATTCTTTTCTTTTACAAACTTGAATTTTGCCTCTGTGGGAAATTTGTAGCTAAATAATGGTACAGAAAATGCAGAAGCATTCAATAAACTAATCCTTTTTGTATTCAGATAAAATAAGAATAGGCCATTTTTATGAGAGGAAACTTATGAGAACACTTCAGGCACCTTCCTTGGTATCCTGGTAGACGAAGCACAAGCGAGTGCCGCCAGGCAGCGCTTTCGGAGGCCTGCTACTCACCAGCACAGGAGTGCCCGTCGGCGGCAAGCTGGAAGCCCTCGGCACAGTGGCAGCGGTAGCTGCCCGGCTGGTTGCTGCACGCGGCGTTGCTGCCGCACGGCGCCGCCTGCTCCGCGCACTCGTCGACATCTGCGTTGGTACAGGGGCCACAGTCACCACAGCGCCGCGCTCGACACCGACGCCACAGGAACCGTGCGACTGCTGCGCTGCAGCTGCAGCTTTTTGCATTTGATCAACATTGTGGATGGATCATACATTTACATCAGTAACCTGAGAATGAGCTTATCGGTAACTATCAATCAATCTGCTCAAGGATCAGAAGCGGTGCTGCAGTGGGGTGTTAAGGACAAGGAATGGGAAATGACGCCGGGATGAGAAGAAAGCACTGAGAAAGGAAACGCTGGCTGCAAGGTGATTAGAAGTACTGACTAATACTGAGGACAGGAACTTGCTAGGCAAGAGTTCTCTTTGTTACCCACACATATCCCTAATCCACACTGCTGCTCAGCTCACAGGAATGAAGACTGGAACAATAGTTAATTCATAGGGCATATACATACATATATGTGTATATACACATGAGTATTTCACTACCACACTCCTTTTCAAGAGGTGAAAATGCATCTGTGTCATGATCTGATGACAAAACAAGAAACCTCTCATATAACACATGCTCCTCAGTAACCTGCAAGTTCTTTAAGGCCAGGGGACAACACGTTGCATCTTATTGCATCCTATATGCAATAACTAGGAATGTTCCAAAAAGGTAACGGGTATACATGCATGTGCTAGTAAGTATACATATACAGGTAAGAGGTAGAGATCACATGTTCAGAAGCKAAAACGTTTTTTGTTTTAGTTTTTTTTTTGGACTGTGACTAAATAGTGCTACRTAAGAGTCACCAACTGAAGTTTAACTAAAAAGAACATGTGGAAGACATTTGCTTATGTGGAGATTTTGCTTCACTGCATTCTGCTGGAAGTTGTGCATGTCATATCTTAAAAAATCAGATCTTAAAAGCCTCCAGTAAGCAGGGGGCCTTTCTGGGACACGCAGAACAGATGAAAATATGAAAAGGAAGGAAACGTCACACTGCAAAGCAATCCTAGCTTTGCCAACTTAACAAGGCATTTCATGCCAAGATGATAATCAAATAAAGATGTGGAGCTTTAACTTTGTGTGCAACTCTTACAAAGCATCCCAAACCAACGTCACATACCACAGAGGGAACACTTTAGACAATGCTGTACAGCATTGGAGAATAAAAATATTTATTGAAAGGACATTTCAAGTTAGATCTTGAAAAGACTGTTTCAAGGCCTTATATCCCCTATACCTGTGCTCTGTATGCATGTGCACATGCCATCCCTCCTCTCCCTCAAGAACTGCTAACAYGGCAGACTGATTTGAACCAGATTTCACAGAACAGTACAATTCTCACAGGTGTGTTCCTACAAGTTTTCTGAGAACAGGAATGAAATACAAAAGATGCCTTGCAAGCTTGCAAGAAATATGAAACCTCGACTCTGCAGGAGAATCAAACTTGCTGGCTTTGGTTATTCACATGCGTTATTCATACATGTGTTATTCAGATATATGTTCCAGCATCCCTCTAAGCTCTCTCTCCCAAAACCAACCTCTTAGCACAGTTCCTTTTTACTGGGATTGCTGGCCCTGAAGGTCAACACACTCCAAAGAAACCAGATTCTCTGTTAGCTGCCATTTTGTAAGGAAAAGCTTCTCATACCGTAACAAACATGCCCATCTCCACGGAAGCCAATTGAACACTCGCAGAYGAAATGATTCCCTGTTCCTGGGCGACATATCGCGTTGGTGTCACAGTTGTGAGTGCCAGTGTAGCAAGGATTCCGGTTAATATCAGCAGAACCATCTGGCAGGAGAGAAAACATTTAGCTGCAACATCTGCCCAAGTAGAAGGGCCAAGACACAGACCAGAAGATCACTTGCAACGAGCATYCAACGAGAAAAGAGAAACCAGAGAAGGCAGCACCCTGCAGGCAAGGTGCAAGTCTCAAACGTGACAGCAGCACCTGTATTCCTCGTCACTACCACAATAAATAAATAAATAAATGTTCAGCTAATAAACAAAGATAACAACTGACCGTAGGTTCCAAATATGATTCTTAATGCCCACTTTGGTCATTGTAATTAGTAGAACTTGATCATTGTAATAAAAATAGAGACAGACAGAGATAAAAGGAAGCGCACAGTGATTCCTGTGCTCATATGGTAAACATTTTCAAAGTGTTSTTTTGCTTTCTTCTTATTTTACAGCTTTTTTTTTTTTTTTTTGGGCGGCGGGCAGGGGAGGAGGGAAGAAGACAACAGGCTTACTAAGCAGCYTTTTCAGGAATAGAAAAAAATGCAAATTAAAGAAACACACTGACAAAATGCTAGCAAGTTTTCAGGTAGTTCCAATAMGATACCTCATAAGCTGTCCTACTTCCAATGATATTGTATCATATTTCAAGCTGAACTATAGAAAGTAGTCTTCCCAATGGCAGATCTTACTACCTTGTATTACCCTTTTTACCACTAATACAAAGAAAAAAAATAGTAAAGGGACTGTAATTTAGATATAGATCAACTGTACATCCCATGAATCTAAGCAGTGATAAATTCAAGCTGATATGCAGAGAATCTTTTGATTAATTTGGAGCATTAACTCCCCTGAAAGCTCCCAACTTTCACTAACCTAAGGACTCAATCAATTTAATCCCTTAGTACCCAGCTAAGCCAGGCTAGAGCGCTATAGGAGCTCGGCTCCTAAGCATTCTCAAAAGAGAAAAGGGAAGAACTCCAGTTGCCGCGTACCGCTGATGGGCCCGATGGCGTTACTCATGGCGTAGCGCAGAATCTGCTCCTCCCGGTTGTAGAGGACAAACACGCTGTCCACGGAGAGCTGCTGSGTGGCGGGAGCGGCGTGCTGGGCGCCGTCGTGCAGGCACTCGGCGAAGGAGATGGTCTGTCGCCACTGGTAGGCGGCCGTGTACGAGGAGGCTGCCCCGGCCCTTTCCGGCTCCGTCACCGTGTACTCCCTGGTGGACGAGGAAGTGATCACTGCAGAACGGCAACAGATGCCAAGAAGCTGTTAAGGCAGGTCTTGTTTCCAGGCAAAAGGAGAAAACGGCACCTGACTAGGCTTCTTTTGCTCTCAGATAGCAAAGCCTTGACGGATGAGCCATATAAAAGACCTAGATCAAATATAAAATTTGAACTTGACTTTAAAGACAGCCTTTTAAAGACAGAAAAGACAGCCTTTCTGCAGAGCAGGTGGATGTTCAACAGCTCTGAAGCAGTTTGGCATAAAGTGCAAGTTTCCTGTTGCCTCCAAAACATCACMGTTCAACAGTCCAAACAGGAAATGAAAACAGAGCAGCAGTGATGCAGTTACACCACTTGGAGCTGTCTCTAGCAACCACAGGATGCCCTTGGAGCAAAATATATTCTCCTAAGTATCCAAATGCACTCAGGTCATCGAGCAAAGCCCGGGCTRCTGCCTCTTTGACAGAGGGGCTAGCTGGCTGGCAGCAGCACTCAAGCCAYACTTTGATCTTGTGGTCTTGAAACATCTGTGACTTTATCCAGGAAGAGGAAAGGAGGAAAAAAGATGAAAGCAAAAGAGACATTCTACTATAAATGGTGACACRAAAACCACCCCACTCTTAACAAATCTCAGAATTTGAAAGAAGAAATTGAAACAATAAAAAAAAAATGTGGGATGAATGGTAATGAAATTAAGAATCTTAATTTTCTTGCCAATCATTCATATTAAGTTCAAAYGATACTGGCAAATGCTTGTTACCAGCACGCAGCACGGTCACTGCTATGCAGCTTACATAATATGTACTGGTGCACTTTCACAGGACAACACCAAAGTCTACTTAATGACAAAATCCCTACTCATAGATATATCCCAGTCTGACTCCTACCAAAGAGCTGTGGACACCACAAGACCTTTTTAATCTGTATGACTGCCAGCAGCAGTTCAAGGACAAGATCAATGGAAAGGGAATCTGGTATGCTTTGCTAACATTAGTTTCGAGAACTGAAGCTTCAGCCCAGAAAGTCTTCAATAAAAAACATTAGAAGTATTTGCAATGTCTCAGTTATAGCCTTTTTTTTTTTTTTTCCAGGACCTATTCCTCAGAGGCAAAAAGTAATTTTGTATCAATTGAAGGGTGAAAAACACACCTGTGAAGAACGTAATCAAATGAGACTGTCTTCTTTSCAGTCTAAGCAATGTGCACTCTCATATGATTTTCCTCTTAGGGCATCTTACCAGAAGTGGAAGTGTGATAGAGCTCAGTGTACGGTTCTATGTGGACCGATGAACCAGAGGGAATCTCAGGTATCCTGCCCTCCATTTCCGTGCTGATGGTAAGGTGACCATGCTCATCAATTCCACTGAATTTCTGCTTGATAACCATCTTCTCGTTGTTGCCGAGAAAAGTTACTTCAGTTTGCCGCGTAAACTCACCACCTGAAGACACAGTATTAGTTAAGTCACTTGCAATGAATTTCTGAACCCTCCTATCAAACTGTTGTTTCTAGTAGCTAAATTATAAATAAGTATTTTCTGCCTGCTTTTATGTAGTTTAATTACTAATGCTTTGGGTTCCTAAAGAAATACTTTCCAGAAGCACACGGGTAATACTCTCAGAAATTGTAAGCAGACTATCTTTTCTTAAATACTGAATACTAGGAAATGTAAGTAACCCTGAAGAAGTTGTTAAAACAAAATTCATCGAAACCTTTGATTTTATAATATTGGTTAAAATGGGAAATAAGTTGTACATTTTAGAGAAAAACATCTCAATTCAAAATATATTCACTTAAAGGGATTCAATACATTTATTTCCAAATCAAAATCAAATGAAATATCTGTTGTAAATYATAGAAAAAACTTCAAACACACAAAATGAAAGAAAAAAATGTTACACTCAGCTAACGCGATGATATTAATCTAAATTCCTGCTACAGAACTGTAAAGAAGAAAAAGGAAAACACATGTTCTCCTAAAACAGACTGAGCCTACAGCTTAAATTCACGTGCACAAGTAAGAGTCCCCTTCATATCCACTTATGAAGAGTCTTAATTCTGAAATGAATTTTCTTTCAAATGAGTTAAAAGAATCATTAGCATCTCACACAGAAATTGCTTGTTTAGAATTGCAGACCTTCAAGAGGTCAGACTCTCTTTGTGTTTTGCACCCTTGGCACAGTCTCAGCCAGACCTAATTAGACATTAATTCCCTGAAAAGAAGCCTGTCGGGAGAATGAAGTCAGCAAGGAGGTGAACACACAGCTAGAGTGCAGTGCTAGAAGAGCACTGGCAATTAACAGACTGTAGATTATAGGCATCTTATTGCACTAGTTCTGTATATTTTGGTACTGAAGTCAGGTAATTTCTGATAATCCATTTCTTATATGGAATGTGTCCAATTTGTTAGTTTTTCCTGTAAGACATTTAAATGCTTATGCACTGATCGTAAAATAAAGATCCCAATATCTATACAGCATAAACAGGAAAAAATGCTAAGTTTCATGACTAAGCAATCCATATTCAACTCAGAACAGGCAGGTTTTTTTTTCAACCGTGTGTTGGTTACAGACAAACATTTCTTTTCTCTTAAGTCAAATGAAATAACATTCTTAAATGCTATTTTTAATTAAAAATTTACCAGTAACACTGAATCCATTCTTATATCCTTCCTGTTCCACAGCAAACATCCATCCTATGATACCTCCAATGGAGGCAAGAGGCAGTAAAGAATACCCCAGCGTCTCTGGGATTGTGCTGATGGCAGTGTAGGCACGTCCCTGGTTCATCACAACGTAGGAGTGCAGGTCAGTATTCTCAAAGACAACCGGAACTGGGTTATTTCCCACAAAGATTCTTCCCTTGACTTTCCCATTGACCCTCTGAGGAGATCCTGGAAAAAAAGAATCAGAAAAAAGTGACAGTTCTCACATACTCTCCAAGAAACATGTTCAGAGCATTCACTATGTTCAAATGAAAGACAGTAACATGAACAGAAAGAGCAAAAACAAAAAAAAATGGTTAAACAGGCTAGACAGGAAGCTGCCTACACATAGTGTGCCGGTTTGGTTATATATGTTTTTGCCATTACATGGTGACTGAGTGGTTGTAACTGCCTAAAGAGATGTTTGTTATCCTCATTAACAATTTTTCATCTGTGGATACTCAGTGAACAGACTAGGCTGCTACAGTATTTCTGGCCGTAAGTGGCATTCGGTGATTTCAGTGGAAGATCACACTTCACACCAGTATCTCCTGAATGCAGATGCCATCCCCTATTAGGAGGCTACCACCATTAGACATTTAGAATAACTTCATTATTTACCAGAAAATGCAGAAAATAAAACCACTTCAGAGAAAAATTGTTTTAAGCAGTAATCTGGGAATAGTTACTTTAGATGAGTAACTTTCTTCTGTATAAATCTTCCAAAGTACCTAAGATAAGTTCATGCTGTGTTTTCATCGCAGGCTTTGCTTCCTCTCTGGAAAAAAAAAAATCAATCGACTGCATGCTAAGCAGTAATTGTTCACTTCCCTGTTTTATAAAACACAAAGTCTGCAGTCAGCTATTTTAGTTGTTGAAATGCATCTATAGTCTGAGTCAACTCACTATGAGGATTACAAGTGTATACATAAGAAATTCCTTCATGGATCCTACACAGGAACAAAGTGTAAGTGAATATCTAAAAAAAATCTGACAGATCAGTCCTTTATTAAAGAAGCTTAAGAACCAGATAAAAGATAGCCATGCTATTTATTTTGATGATCCAAGTTAATTTGTTCATCACTTTTTATCTGTCCTTTTCTAGACTAGATCAGATTACAAAACACATTGGAATTTCATGACTAGAATTCCATCAGTAAACACTGGATATCATGATATCCAATTAGTTTGTTATATAGGAGTATGTTTATTCTAAAAAGTCATACTAAAATGACAGGCATTTAATTGAACACCCAAAATAATCTGGTTCATTGAAAAACCAATCTTTTCTTTATAGTTCAAGTAATTTTCCTTTCAAAACATTTCTAATCATATATCTTTCAAGAAGTATTTACCATTTTTTTTTTTTATTAGTATTGAAAACAGGTCATCTCATTCAAAAGTACTGCGTGTAATTGCTGCACGAGTATCTAATTTTCAAGAAGTTACCTTCTGCTACACATTGCCTGCCATTTCCTTTGTAGCCAGCAATACAGCTGCARCAAAACCCATTCGGATAGTCCCTGCAGACGGCGTGGACGGAGCACTGGTGGCGGCTGTTCGCGCASGTCTGTTGCCCATCCGTGTGGTAGCGGAACACTGCGGAAAAGGAGGCCGGCCACGTAAATCAACGACAAGCAGCTACAAGAGCATCTGCACACCCTGGGTGCAGTTTCAAAATCCCAGTAGACTTCAGGGGATCAAGTTTCATTTTGTCTGTATGAAAAGCAAACAACTGCAACTGACCTTTGCCAAGACTGCAATATGCAAGTAACAGTCCACTACTTTTCAGGAAAACACCAAGGCTTCAGATGTTCGAAATTTGTGTAGTTCTACTGACTTTAGTGGCTCTGTATTAATATTAAGCAACCTTGAAACTTTCTTGGTGAAACTAAACATATAAAAAAGCTTAATATTTTCTGGTTTCCATAACCAAAGCAAAAATCAGCCTCACTAAACTCGGAACAAACCCCATCAATACAGTACTTAGGAAACTGTACCAACTGTACCCTGTAATTCTAGTTGCCCTACCTCATTAATTCATACAGATGGCAATCCTCTCATSTAGTTCAAGGAACATTTAACATCTGGACAGTCAGTTATACTCTTTTGAATTTTCTATAAACACTTTCTTGRAAGTTAGATTTGCCAATCCCGTGTCCTTGTAAAACAGAAGGTCACGAAACCCTCAACTGACAATTCGTACAGCAGACTCTACTCTCAGCCTTTATTAAATCAACTGTATTCAGCATCATGTCTATGAAAAGCAAAAAAATAAAAATAAAAATAAAAACTCATCATAAAATCCTACCAGGAACAGCCAGTTAATGAACCTACTGAAGTTCTCTAACAGCAGTCCTGGGCAAAAGGATGTGTTGGCTTTAAAAATAGCAGTATATCCCTGTGGGGGGCTTTCTTTAGGACAGACTCCAGTCCAACAGACCTTGTTCTCCTGTAAGCTTGACTAGTAGTATAAATGATTCAACTAGCAAGATGTGAATGAGAGGTGACATCCAACTTAACCACCTTCAAGAATAACACAATCTTATTAAACATTGACAGATGTTTAAATCAAAGGTAATGAGAAAGAAACAGATTGTTCTTTTAATAACTATTTCATGTACACCTCTGATTTCTTTCCAACCTCTTTTTCCAACATTTTCCTCTGTGGCAGSACCCAAGCACTGCAAGAGATCTTACCTATCCCCGTTTCATCAAATTCTTCCACATCTATGACCTGTGGCTGCTGTGGGGGGAACTGCTGGACTTTGAACTGGCGAGGTGCAGTTTTTGCTGTTGGGAAATCTTGCTGACCATATAAAGACTCAGTTGAAGGTATTTCTGTTATATCTTGGTATGAAGTCATAAAGTCTTCTGCAGCTAGGTGAGGAACACTATACGTAACATGGTGCTGGTCTCCTTCTATACTGTCCATAGTGCTAGTTATGTGTTCCTGCCTTATTTCAGTGGAGCCATAATCTGACATAAATGGTTTTGAAGTCATCTCTTGGTCTTGTTCAATAGACTCCAGGTTCTCCAAAATGCTGCTGATCTTGGCAGGCACAATACTGTCAGAGGAGCTACCAATCTCGAACACCCAGATGCCCTGCCTGCCAGCATTGCTGCTTCTGTCAAAGGGAAGCATAAGCAAAAGAAATCAGTCAAGTACAAATTCTATAATATATACATAAAAAGTTTTAACTCCATTGAGAAATACTATGGCAAAAATTCTGAGCTATACATCTCTCCATAGAACTAAATAGCTGTAGTTTAAGCTATAACACACCTCAGGGTCTGGGCAGCATTTCACTTCCACAGCCAGAGCTCTCCTTGAGAATTTCTACCCTCCTTGTCTCCAAAGAGATGGGAACAAAAGGAGGAAACATTTGAGCCACAAGCATCTTGTTAACAGTTGTTAGAGCTTTCAAAATATTTCCTTTAATTCTCGCACACATTTTTGCAGGAAAAAAAAAAAGTTGTGCAGTCGAAAGTATTAAGAGATAAAGTTCTAAACAAGTGACCCAGTTTTTAGAAGGGCTAAGTATGTAACAGCTACTAGTGGCAAAAGGACTGTGAATTTTTCTGACAAATTATACTGAAGCTCTTGTATTCTTTGAGGGGGTGCATATTCATCACTGGCAGGCAAATTTTGCAATATCTCATAAAATCACTAACAGCTTTTTTTTTTTTTTTTTTTTTTTATTTCTGCTTGTCTCATGCTGCAATTACTAAAAAGAACATGAAACTCCCTGTTGTTTTGGGAAGGAGTTTAAACAAACAAAAAGGCATACTTTTGTAGGTTTCTGATGGCCTCTTCATCATTAGCAATGACATTGTAGGATCCTGGTTTTTCCCAAAAGTAGTAGTTTGTAGAGGCTTGACTAAAGCCAACTATAGCAGGACTCTTTTCATCATCATTCTTGGAGTATGTACTATAGAACTGCAAACTATCTTCTGGATAAAGGAAAATAGCATAGGAACTGGAGTCAGAAGAGGCTAAAACAGCCTGGAATGTGTTTCTCTGTGAAGAAAATTTAAAATTCACTTACTCATGGTAAAAGAGTCAACAATAGACAACAGGGTGATATTTCACAAACACATATGTTTCCGTATGAGGTAAGGTACCATGTACTTACTGGAGACTTGTTGGTCAATCAGCTTTTCAGATGAATCAACATTAAGCAGGCTTACATTTTGCTATGGTAGTTTTTGCTTATATATCCATCAATATTARAAGTTGAAGGTGTCACAAAATAGCCATAGAGGCTGTTGCAAACACAGCAATTAAATTCTACAAACATGCAGAGCATGCTAGACAGTCTCCTTAAAATAGTGATGTACTAGACTAATTAGAGGTATGAAATTGCTATGAGCAAATTTATAAACAGAATAAAGAAGAGTTCAAGCTTTATGTTGTTGCAACTCTGGCATCCTCTGTAGSAACACGTCTACACACTATAGGAACCAGGAAGGTAGTGCCTCATACATCAGTTGTTCCTCACTACCACAGTGTGCAACCATTACTGTGACATGAAATAGAAGCCATACAACTGTAAGCTTCTTCCACATAAGCTGCCTACTTCTTCATTCAAGGAAGATAGTACTGCCACAGTAGTAGTCACAATATATGAGCTTTTTGTAAATGCAATGTCAAAAAACAAGTTTATAGTTTAGTATAATTAAAGTTTCTATTGGTCCATATACTTATCACATTTTGAATATTTTATGGCAAATAAAACAACTTAAGAGTCTATTGAACAGTGCAAGCCAACTGCAGAGATACAGGACGTGACATCCTAACATTTGCAGTTACTGCTACATCACAAGTAACAGTTTCAAAATATGGATTGTTGGGCAATACAAAGAAATTCATCTATTTAGACTTCAGCATTTTCTTCTAAATGACTAAAATACTGTAAAATAGAAGTATCTTGCTCAAGTATCTCTCATCTTGCTATATCATATTCAGCAACAAAAGAATATATTCTTAACTGCATAGAATTTATTTACACATAAAGGAATTTAAGCCTTCAGAACAATAGGTTATGATTTTAAACTGGTGTTTAAACATACTGCTGAATGTGCTGTCCAAGATGTATTAAAGCTCTGCTTACCTTTTCTTTCACAGTAACATCTTCTCCGGGTGCCTGGTAAGGAGCCACAAGTTTCCACGTAACCACCACAACGCTGCTAGGATCAAACGTGGTCTCAGGGAAACCTCCGTTGATGTAGTCTGAAGCAAGCTGTAAGACATCTGGGGAGGAATCCTCTCTGTAATAAACATTTCCAAGTCCATCTGTTGTATCCAGATCAGCCATAAAGGGAGCTATAGCCCCAAAACTGACTGGGAATTGACCAAGATACTCTTCTTCATTTGAAGGTTCATTCACTGCAATAATCCCATTAGTTGAAACCTAACAGAAGGAGAGAGAAAAAAAAAACAAAAGAAAAGAATGTAAGATAAATACCATTCATAAGAGTCTCTCCCGCATCTTTGTGCTTGAGATCACAGTATTTTCATTGCATTTCTAAAATAAATTCAGTCAAAAGCCAGTCTGGTATTTGTGAAGTAAATGAAATTTTAAAAGTTTTGGTTTGTTTTATATCCCAGTCAGGAATCTTGGGATTTCAGTTCCCCAAGAGAGTCATCTACATTAAGGATAAATGCAGGGAAAAACCTACGCTCCTCAGAGACAATTTTAGGTATTTAATTTTCAATTCTAAATTTATTGTCTTTTCTAACAAAGATATACTAAACCTGCACATCTCGCATTTTTCCAGTTATCTCACAGACCAAGACCCAGTGCACCTCCCCCAGTGAGTATGCCAAGGATTGTGCACAAAGCCACTAAAATAATTACAAACTCACCTCACTATTTTTTGCTGCTACTCTCTTACAAAGTACTTTTACAATAGCTTGACTTGGAATGGCAGAGAGGAAATAAATACTTGCAAGACTTTCTTCTCTGATTATCCAGTGAACTAAATTCTTCTTTGGTGCTTAAATAAAGACTACAGAGAAGTTGTATCAAAGTAACACTGCTTAGAATTCAACTTCCACTAAGAAAGCAGAGGAGGCTTAACCTGAACAGTACAGTAAAAGAAAAAACTGTCCATTCCTATAAAAGTTGGACACTGATAAAATGCAGGAAAGGAAAAAGGAAGCAGCTTTCTTGTTCCCCTCAAACACACAGAAATAGTCAAGCAACAAGAGGTTGTTCTGCTTCCATAAAGGCCTGTGTAGGTTGTTAGAATGGGAGCGGGTCAGTTCAGCTTTTCTTTGCACTGACTCAGAAGGTGATACAAAAATTTCTGGGCAAGGTACCAGCCTACATGGATACGTCCATCTAAGAAGCTGCTCCATTCTGCTTAAATACTGCAAAAGTTTAGGCAAGTCTTCCAAGACAAAGACAGATTTTACTTCAACTGGCCAAGGCTGCTCCAATTTTCTCATTTTTAGAATCATCCTCCTAGGAAAATTTTTTGGTCACTGTGCAAGGTAGACCACAATGTGCTGCTGCTCATTYCAGAAGGCAACAAAACAGAGTTTCTATGACAGATACAGGCCATTCAGTAAATTCCTTTACAGCAGGGAGTGACAATTCCTTTCCATGTGCCCTGTCACAGTAATATGGAAAACTGGCTCCATTTCTTGAGAAAGATTTAGTACTAATAAACACAAGCAAAACTCTTGGTCTGCATACTGCAGCTACAACTGGCTCAGGGGAGATTTAACTGGCCGAGGAGATGGCTATTTGCAGGCCACCAGCTCCACCCCGTGAGGATGTGCCTGCTATCTGCACAGAGGGTGGCAGTGAATCCTCTTCACAGCGCRCGGGCAGCAAACCAGGGCCGGCTCTCACAGAAGGGGCAGGCAGGACAACTGGTGTCGGGCCTTGAAGCAGGGCATAGGCTGCACTCCCACACACCTTATTCCAGGCTTTTCTTTCAGGCAGGTATGGCCTGAAAGGCCTAAAGGTGCTTGACTCCCCGATGCTAGAAACACATCTGACTACCCACAGGCTGCCACACACTTGGGCTCTGGAGCTGCTGCCACATGGCCAGGTGGCTCAGAGGGGCCCAGACGGCCTCAAAACAAGCTGTGAAACTACAGAGTAAATCATTACAAATTTGCCTCATTCCCGTAATTTATTGCATGTCCTAGAAGAACTTATAGCCACTGTTCTTTTTCACGTTTGAGCCATTAAGGACGCACATAACCTTTGTGAACACCTGCAGGAACACAGAAATTGCCACAGTGGCTCCGAACACGAGACCAACGAACCCAGCATGCTGTCCCTGGCTACAGCTCAGGAGGAGCAAGGGGAGGATGTGCATTTACCCCCAAGCACCAAGCARCCCCTTCACATGCAGCTAGAGGGATTCCCTGGGCTCTGTTTAGTCATCCTCACTGGATCTCCTTCAAGTATTTGTTAAGTCTTCCCTTGAACATACATAAACTTTACACAAAATCTTTTAAAGGAATACTGCAGAGTTGACTCATACTCTGAGCTCTCTTCTACATTTGTTTTAAACTTGGCCCCCTGCTCCATTTGATGGCCTTTATGTACTTGGACACACTCTCAAATGCTCTCGTCTATCATCTCTCCTCTTAAGCAATTTCTCCTCCAGAGCAAAGACTTGTAGCCTATTGACTCATTCGCTGCCGAAGTTGCTCCATGGCTCTGATCATTCCCTCTGTCTCCGAYTTTCTTCTCTCCTGCACCACTCAATGCTTCTGAAAATAAGGAGGCCAGTACTGCATGTATCTGCCAAAGCACAGATGAACTCCAGATTTGTCCAGTGAAATAATGACAATTACCAGTCTGTACAACACTCCTAACACTTCTGAGCATTTGTTTCACTTTTGTACTTCTCCTGAACCTTTTTTTTTTTTTAAAAAAAAAAAAAAAGCCACCTAAAAGAAAAGGTGGCTTCTTTAAACCACCTCTCATGTGGCTGAAAGAGTAGAGAAATGGTATAGAATACTTGACAGAGTTTAAGGGCACAGACTTCAGGTCTGCATGCCCCCTAATATGGTACAGACTGAAATAACAAGAGAAAATTCAATCAAGACCATTCTACAGAACAGAGGGTAGAGATCAGAGGCAACCATCTTGCACCTCTTTTCAGATGCTTCTGGCTACTGGTTTCTTAGATTACTAAAAAATTCACTGTACCAAATAATTTTATTGAGGAGAAAAAAATGCCAACCATTCTCATTTTATGCTTGGAGTTTATAAATGAGACAGTTCAGATTCAATGTTAAGGAAATACATGATTAAAAATTGAAGGTTCTCTGCCACCTGGAAGACATTTAAAAATCATTAAATGATTTTTTTTTTAAAAAGGGGGTTTGTAAAGAGATTCTAGTGCAGAGAATGAACTTTCATCATTATTGAAGAAAAGTTTTTAGTTTTTATATTATTCATACATTTATATTGACACAGATAGTGAGTAGCATTGTTTAACCTCACCCTGTTCCTTTCAAGCTCACACTAGTAGGTTCAAGTGTGAACTCCTGAATAAATGGAAGCAATTCAGAATAAGTATAGGGTTTCATTAAAGCAGCATTCCTGTCAAAAGGGAAAGAAAAGGAAAAGGTCTTAGGAGGGTGCTGTTTTAAGATCAGCTCTACTGTACATCTTTCCTTTTAGGGTATAGTTCTATTTAAATGGACAGGAACTAAAACCAATGTATTTTTAGCAAATAAAATTTCTGGGCTACACACATAGTTAAGATATACTCATGGATTACACTGGAACAAATCACACATACACCGTCTGTAGATAGCCCTATCTCAACTAACCAAGAGAGGAAACAGAGGCATAGAAAGAAACAAGAAAATACTCTGGGAAAGAGAGAGAGAGAAACAGAAAACAGAGARGGGGGAAGAAAAGCAATAATACACAGTGTAAAGGAAAAATCAAAGACCCGAACACATGAGATATTTTTCACTAACCAGTTACAAGGCATTTGAGGACATGAACATTTCTAGGTAAGAGTTTAGAACAATTGAATTTGTTTGTATGACCCAGTGCCAGCTGAGCTAAAGCAGTAAAACTTTCTAATATAAGCACTGCCAACTACTCATTTAGCAAGTTAATATMAGTAACAATTAACAAATTAATCCAAACTTGACTTATAGGGCTCTTGTTTTCCCTAAAAGGAAGCAATCCCAAATCCTTCAGCCTTTCCTCCTCAGTAAACCCTAGTATAAACAAGATAAAAACTTTACTAAATGCATCCTAATAAAACAAGTATACCAACAGGGGTAAGGGAGAAGATCTCATATTATAAACCTTTCTTTTACTGTTGCTTGGAAAAACATCGTGTTTTCCTTGAAGATACTCTTATAGGATCTTAGTATGTGAAAGCCTCATGTTTCAATTTATACATAAAAAAGTTATTCTCTCTTCTAGCTATAAAAAGAAAAAAACCTCTTGTTGCCAGGGATTTCAAGACAAGTCAGTACTAAACAATCCTTCCTCAGAGCTCCCTGCCTTACTTATTCATATGCAGGGCTAGCTCAAGCAACTCAGCATGTCAACCAGCTGAGAACCGGAGACAGGAAGGACCCTGCAGAAATTCAGAGCTCATCAAAGGTGAAAGCTGCGTGAAGTCCARCACTCAATAATTAGGATAAACTTTTCATATTATTTTCATCAACTTTACAGAAACACGTATTTCAGGACAACAACTCAAAACCTGATCCACGAATTTCTGGAAAAATCGCATGTTAATAAATTGGTAATATTTACTATAAAATAATCAATGGTACTTACTATCATCTAGCAATATTTCAGTAAATTCTGGTTACAAAATAATACCATATAGYTTAATAAGTACTTTTGACCATCATACAACAAAACCGTATGTTTTGATTGTGCATTTAGGGCTGTTCAATACCTTTCTGTAACAGATACCTACCTCCTTTCTCTATCCAACTACTTCAAATATTTATTGTGCTTCTATTTCTTAAAACTTCTGACAAGATTAAATGTAAAATAAAGTCTCTGAAGATTATGTAGCCTGATACTGAAATATCATTATCGGACTCTGCCTATCTCAAAATTGCCCATCCTTAGGGAAATATCCCTAGAAGTGATTCTGGGGTAGTCTTACACAGGTAGGTTTCTCCAGACAAAGGAGAAGGAAAAAAAAAAAAAAAAAAGGAGGAAAAAATAAAAACATTCCTCTGCTTTACAGAGTAAAGTGAGCAAATAACAAGATCATTAAACTAAAGGAACTTTAGGCTGTTAGTCCATTCACTGCTCCTTGAAAACTGTCCCCTTTCAACCCTTATCCTACACATTGTTATCTCTGGTTCTCAGTGACTAGATATACAGCCCACTATCTTTCAAGACGTCTGTAYGGAAAAAAAAATGTATTTTTAACTTGGGTTGGC